AAATACAATAGACATTACGTAATGGTTACGTAATGTGTGTTTATCTTACGTAATAGTTGAAAAATATCAATACGGACGTAATAGACGCTCATTTTACGTAGTAATAATAATAATAATAATAGATCTAACGACTAAAGTTATACGTCGTCGAAAAACATTAACCCGTGTATACACTCATCATTTTCAGGATTGTATCGAATTCGTAATTAATTTCACTCTTTGCCAGTTTATTCTATTATAATAAATAAAAAAAAATTGGGGTTGAAATAATCAGTTTCCAAATATGAAAAAGAAAAGACTAGTGATCTGTGTACGGAAGAGATAGCGAGGAAGGAGGGGGCCGGTGGCGGTGAGCGCGGGGGCCAGAGGAAGAAACAGCGACTGTCGGCAAAGCGAGGTCTCACCACGTGGCGGAAGCCGCGTTCCCGTCTCCGCCCGGCTGGCTTGCACCGGTGGCGGTGGCGCGCCCCCGGAACCCAAGACGGCACGGCATTTATCGCTAGATTCGTGCTGTCCCCTTCCCCGGCGGCGACGGGAGGCGAAGTGAAATATGATTGGTGGATTGCCAGTCTGTCAGGATCGCTGACCTGGCACCTCCAGCGGACCCCGCACCTCCCGCTGGAATTAAATATTTTTTTTCCTTTATTATATATTTGTGGGAATTCGCATGGTTCTCAGTTCCTCACGCTGTTCAAGAATTGCGGCTGCGAGTTTCAGAATTCCTTTTCCTCCTTTCAACGACAGAAATTAAGAAAAACTGTAGCGCATAATTTTTGTGTATAAAATATAAATACTAAATAGGAACATTTTGTACAGGATCAAATACGTATATAGTGACGTTTAATGAGCTTGTTACTACTTACTAGTTACTACTAAAAAGGAATGAACTTGCATCTATTTGATTTTGAGTAAATTGTCAACGGGTCACTGGAATTACTAAAAAAATCACGTTTGGTTACTAAAAATATTTTATTCCATTCGCGATATTCCAAATTCGGTCACTCTCTCTTAGTCTCCGTTGGCATCCATCCATTACCACCGTAGGCATTTTGCTGAGGTGGCTAAATGATGCATCCAATTTTGACCCGAATAAACGAAAAACCGACTCGTACAGTCAGCTAAACAGTAAACCCGTCGTGTCGCTAATGACCCAACCTAACCACCTTTTGATACGACCCTCTTTCTGTATTTTGGTTCATTCCGACTAACAAAGACAGCCACCCATTGAATTTCTTCAAACGGCATCATTCTACCGTTTTCTCCTCTGCCCACTAATCCCTTTTCTCCCTTAACCGGAAGTGACCACAAACATTTGGCTTTCTCTAACTTCATGATTACCATCGCTTAATCACCATCAGCCACGTCCGAAACACTACTGCTTCGATGCTGCCTTTCACAATATGTTGGTCAAATCGCTTTACAGTAATTGGGCCTATAGTTGGGCCAGCGCTGTCAAATGTGTAATTAGCGACGGGAGCAGGGGAATGGCAAATGGGATTAAAGATTATGTCCATGCTGTTTAAGGAAAATAAGTAAATGACATCGACAATCCAACCTTTATTAAAAAGCGATGTTTTATATGATAAAAGATCCAATTATACGTACCGTTGCATTAACACAACACATCTCCATCGGAATCCATTAATGTTTTCACGACAGGGATTTGTTGTCGGTTAGCTGGTTGTTTTTTTTAACTCGATCGGTGCTTCGTCGACGGCCATTATTATGCCTTTGTGAAACTGCCGTACCGGAGGAATTAAGCTATAGCCTAATTAGACTGTAGCTGTTTGTGATTTAAGTTCTCCGGGACCACAGGGTTCCTAATTTTAGAGATCGAGCAGCTGGCTGCTGGGCCACTGAGTACGTACATTCGACCACTTGTAAATTCGTAAATTCATGCCCTACCCATTGGCTAAAATATAATGTTACGCAATGAACGTTACGTAAATTCATGCCCTACCCATCCTCACCAACCATTAGATCTAACTAGAGTGATCACCACCTTTCCGATCGATTATTATTTGTTCATGTTCGTTAAAAGAAAACAAAAAGGAAAGATAAAATTAGGGAAACCCCATATTATCAATTATTATTATTATTGGTTAATGATATAATAATAATATAACTGTGCCGACTGCCGACGTCGATGAAGCAATTATATGAGGAGCGGGGCCGGGGAAGAAAGAAATGAATAATGAGGAGGAAAAGAGGACGACGCAAAACGTTGAAAATGGGCCGGGCCCGGGCGGCGACGACGTGGGCCGGAGAAGTGGAGTCGGGGTCAAAGATTCTTGACAGTGGGACGGTGGTGCCTGAAAGCTATGCGGTGTCGTATCCCTCTATTAAAGCCGCTGCCGGCGGCAGTGACTATTGCACGTTGTTTTTTTGCGGCGGTCTACAGACAAAAGGCCTCAGTCCTCCAACTCCAAGTGGGGGAAAAAACAATATAATAGTAATAGTCGCACACAGCTACTCTTCACACGTGTGGATGATGTTTTTTTTTCCCGAAAAGTTTATGCGCGAGTCGGATACGATCTCGCGAGTTGGTTTGTAAATTTGATATTCGAAAAAATCATATCAAACAAAATGAAACTTCATTGTGACGTTCATATACTAATTCAGCATGTCGATCACGAATGTCGAAACTAGATAATCTATGTTACAACCATTCTTCATATGCTTTCATTCAATTAGGATGTTAATTCCTCCAGACATATATTTTGTTAATTTGTTTTTTTTTTTGCACGAGGTTAATTTTGTTGGAGATTTTCCTACTTTAATTATCAGGGGGAGGAGGATACTTCAGGTTTGCATGTAATCAATATTACAAAATTCTAATTTCGTCTATGATGCTTTTGAAGAGTTATAAGAGAGAATGGTGTAAAATTCGTTCGTGGATTCTCTCATATCAAGTCTGTATTGTGACTAATCAGTTTTTGATGATAAGGTAATATCAGAGCCTATGATCAAGAGATCTCGTTTTTCGAATAATCTGTGGATATCTTTCAACAGCTCGAATTTGGAAACTGGCTGGTTCTTGATGTTAAGGTATCGGAGCGCCTCTGACCGAGAGATCTCGCGTATGAATCGTTCCTGGACACCTCTATCAACATCTCGAATATTTTATTAGACTAGAGGTATAATATTTGAAGTTTCATGACTCATAATATTAACCATTGATTCAAATCCCAGATACAGTAAGTTGTGTCAGCTACTCAACTTTAAGCCCCAAAATCTAACTTTCCTTTGAGGATGCTATGAAATAAAGGTAGTTTTTTTTTTAAAACTACTTGTAATAACCCAAGTTAAAGTTAACAAAACTAAGTAGTAACGTAGTCAGAATCACTGCTTTAAAACTTAAAAAAAAAACTTACGATTTTACTTGACCAGGTCACTGAAACGCTTCTACACAAAATCTCAGTTTCTATAACTTATGTAGTTAAAAACTCCGCTTACAAACTTAAAAACTTATGATTTTATCCAGAAACTCGTTTTTTAAAACCAAGTAGAAACTCGTTTTTTACTACGTTCCTAAGTAGGCTGCATAAAAGACATAATTGCCCTTTGGAAATGTGACTATACCAGATATGTGCTGGGACTAAACGCGTCACCTCAGCATCTGTTTGTGAGGGCCAACAGCAGCAATAATGGAAAGGGGACAAGCGTATCGAATGGCGTTGATTTTTGTTCCTCGGGCTGATTTTTCATGGCGGAATCGAACAGTCAATCCAAATCCCCTCCCCTGTAAAAAAGGCAAACCATGTCCTTTTTCACTTTCTCTGGAGTCTGGACCCAAATGAATCCTCCACAGTGGCGGATCCAGGGGTGGCCACCCCGGCCCAGCCCTCCTCTGGATACATAGTTAGTATAGGCCTTATGAATTTTTCGATTTTAGATATTCGGGTCGCTGTTATTTTAAAATATGATTGGGTATAATTAGAAAAATAATTCATATGAACATATTCAAAATCACTACCCTAAATTTAGCTTATAAATTCTAACCCCAAAGGTTATTCGTCTAAAAAAACAATGAAACCTAAAAATTCAAAAAGTTTAAAACGTAAAAGACTAAAACATATACGAAGTTTGTTACCTTGAAAAATTTACTAGAGCAGCTGATGGATATAGGTAGGGATGTCAAAAATATCCGTAACCGTGGATATCCGCCCGAAACCAGCCTAATCGGGTAGGGTAGAACCCGAACTCGAAGGACATTTAGTGGGTATGGGTAAAATCCGAACCCGAATATTGCTGGCAATGGGTGGGCATGGGTTTCTCACTATCCAACCCGATCCGCCCGATTATACACATGCATATGTAGTCTGTCTAGAAATAATCTTTTTTTTTCTCTAACATATTTTATATTTAGCATATAAATATAATATTTTCATGAAATTGTGTTGTTTTAATTAATTTTCTTCATTCTAGTGAATTATTGTCGTACTTTCTTCTTACGTAATGGGAGAATACGTGTGAATGTTAACATATTGGTTACAGTTATGAAGAAAAATCATTACCCATGGATAACCGCGGATACCCGAAACCCGAACGGGTATGGGCATGGTTTTAATTTTCTACCCGTTTCACATGTGGGTATGGGTATGGGTAAAACCCGAACTACTTTGGGTAGGGTAACGGATATGCACTATCCGTCCCCGACCCGACCCATTGCCATCCCTAGATATAGGGATGGAAACACAATGCAAATTGATTAGTAGATTGGTTTGTCTAGTGTTGATGCTGCTCGTTTCAACAGCTAATACGAATAGAACCTTTTCAACAACGAAACATGTGAAAATTGATTTGCGCAACAAAATGAGCGATGGATTTCTAGTCGATTGCTCAATTATTTTATTTGAAAGAGTGTATACTATTGGTATGGATGTGGACTCCATTATTAATGCATTCGCTAAATTAAAATACCGTCGTGTACAATTTACATTGTAAAAAAATTATAATCATTATATTTTTTTACTATTCTTATTTTCTAATAAAATGCGGCCTAGTGCACTTCTGTATTCTGGATCTGCCGCGGATCCTCCAGCAAAACTCCATATAGAAAGCAAACAACTTGCATGCAAAATTATGGAGATCCATCCCTCCCCTGCGTTTCAACCTGAAAATGATGGGGATATCATCATGTCTCTTGAACCAAAAGGGAGCAGAAAATGAGCCCTTAAGGGAAGTTATATGATAGGCCAATCCTTTCACTTGCCTTTCTTTGGACAGAGGTGGAACTTTTCTGATGGAAGAAAATGCATGTTTCTCACGAGTCATCGTGCCCCCTGTTTTTTCTTTTGTGGCTATGGAGGAAGGATCGTGTCTCCTCCATGCACTTTTGCTTGCAGGGTAGTGCTCTTCCACAGTCCTTCCCACTGAAGGTTTCACAGTCTTGGAAAGGGAAAGCTCGCCAGGATCATGAGTGGAAAAGGAGAGGATATGTTTTGTATCAGTCATCATGGTAAAAAAATTTAGGAGGACGAGATAGATATTGAACGGTAATGCTCTGTTTTTTTTACCCTGTTTTTCAATGATAGAAATCTACAGCTACAATCAAAAGGTCAATATAAAGGGAAGCAATGTTGGGTTCAGGCAAAGTGGTTATCGTGTTAGACTCGCCTTAAAGAGGTTTAGATCGATGATGTGTTTCGAAATCCAATACAAGAGTTTGATCTAGCGGTTTTATTATTGCTGATTTTCAAAATGAAGATCTCGTATTTGAATACTCTCGCGCGCTACATCCTACGATGAACATTGTATCTTGTGGAATGTGGAGAAATCAGACATGTGAAAGTCCAACGAGAAAAAGAGTTATCAGAAGCCCAACTTGGTCAGCCTTAGCTTTCCTAGCTCTGGTATCTTGGGCCTGCATTCATCTTGGATTTCATCATCCATCTGCAAATTTGGCCAATGGTTTCAATTCCTGAAACCAACGTACAGGAAGTCGCCAAAAACAATCAGGGCATGCTTAAGAAAGCCATTTCCATTTTCAAAGTTAGCCAAAATACATCTACTGAATCCATATTGTCAACAATGGGTTACTCTACCTCGTGAACATTCTCGGCCTTCTTTGTCTACTATCCACTCCCCATCGGCTGGTTAGTACCTTGACGGTTCAGCGTGACGTTCTCTGAACTGACCAAAGTACCAGATAAATAAACTCTTCTTCCCTTTGAATCGTGGAGGCTGTCAACAGCCATAAGCAATCGATGGTTTCCAGTGTCAATATCAGGCAGTTCGCCCAGTGTTCCTCATTTTCTGTCACCAGTGGTCATTGCAGGAGCATTTCCCTCCAACAAAATGATGGAATCTGTTTGAATCTCTCAATACGATAGTCCTACCCGTAACTTTAGATGCAAACTTCATAAATGCATGACAGTCGCCACAAACACGAAGGTTCTTCAATATCCTTACTGGCATAGCCTCATGAGGCCTTTTCATCAACATAAATGCGAGAGCAAGCTTTTCACTGTGATAACTAATGGACTCCAGTTTCTCTTGTTCCCCAACATCATGTAGAACCAAGTTTGTATTAGGCTTGTACCCAACTTCCTGAACCTTCTTTATCAAATCATTGAGTTCCTCGTATATAGCTATTGAATCAACATGACTCCGGTCGTTTGCAACGAATTTGTGGACTTCATTGTTGATATCAACCCAACTGTAGGCTGCGAATTTCTTCACGTTGTTGGTCTTCATCAAACTTCTCAGAGCTGCAACGTCCTTCCACCTTCCATCACTGGCATACATGTTGGATAACAAGATGTAAGGTCCGGCATTCAAAGGATCCAATTCAAATAGTTTCCTCGCTGCCATCTCCCCATACTTGATGTTACCCTTCGTTGCACAAACATTTAAAAGGCTTGACCAAATCAAGGAATCTGGCTTATGGGGCATGCTACTAATTAGCTCAACAGCTTCATCAATGCTTCCTGAACGCCCAAGGAGATTAACCATGCACGCATAATGATCTAAAGTAGGAGACAAGCCATGAATTCCACTCATTGATCCAAAATATCTCTTTCCTTCTTCAACCAAACCAGCATGGATACAAGCAGATAGCACACTTACGAAGGTAATATGATCTGGTTTCAGTTCTTTTTCTACCAACATGATCTCAAAAAGTGCCAAAGCATCTGAATCCTGCCCATTTTGAGCATACCCACAAATCATTGAATTCCAAGAAACCACATTTCGGGCTGACATCATGGTAAACAGACTCGACGCATCCCTAGTGACTCCACATTTGCAATACATATCAACAAGAGCACTAGAAACCAGCAGGTCATCATCAACTCCCACCACAAATGCTTTCCCGTGAACAACTTGGCCATGATTCAGAGAAGCTAGCTTAGAGCAGCAACTAACCACACTCGAGATGGTATGAGTATCCGGCTTGACATTTGCTAACGTCATTTCTTTAAACAACATCAGAGCTTCCTCTTCCTTGCCATTTTGGGTATAACCAACTATCATAGTTGTCCAACATACCTTATCCTTCTCGGAAATCTTCCTAAATAATTTACCCGCTTGTTCCAAACATCCATTCCGAAAATATGCAGTGAGGATGTTTGAAAGTGTAACTTGATCAGGCTTCAAACCAGACAACTCCATTTCACCAACCAATTCAATGCATTTATCAGCCTGCCCGTTCTTCAAGTAACCAGAGATCATCGAATTCCATGACACCAAGTTCTTATTCGTCATCCTATCAAAGAGCCACCTCGCCACAGCGATCTCCCCACACTTCGCATACATATCAGTTAACGCATTCGAAATAAAAGGATTACCTCCGAAACCGCGAACGATTATCCTCCCGTGGATCTGCTTCCCTCTCCTCAAATCCAACAACTGCGTACAAGCATTCACAACACTAACAACTGTGTACCCTGTGGGCACAACCCCCTCTCTTTGCATCTTCACAAAGGCAGAAAGCGCCTTGCTTGCACACCCACGTCCAGCCAAACCCGAAATCACGGTATTATAGGAAACCGAATCCCGGGAAGGCATCCTGTCGAACGTGCCTTGCAAGTCGTCAACGCACCCGGATTTCGCATACAGCGACAGCATAGCGTTCCAGGAGAAGATGTCTCTGTGGGGCATTTTGTCGAACAGTTGGCGAGCACTGGGTATCTGGCCGGATTTCGCGTACAGATGGAGGAGTCGATTGTGAATGAAGGAATCGGCCGGGCGGTAGGAGTAAGCGTCCATGTGGGACTGCAATCGCTTGGCTTGATCGGCATCGTTGGCCCCAAAGCATTCTAGCACGAGCCGGGTGTAGGACTCTTGGCTTGCTGGGCCGATAGAGTAGAGTGAATCTACTGCCTGGCGAAGCTTCAATTTGTCGACTTTCATGGTTTTCCTTTACGTTTCTTCCTTCCCGCCAGCGGGAAATTTCCGAACTTCGAACCGTTGGTTCTGTGGAATGAGACTTAGAGCGCCATAGTGATGGCCGTTGTTTCTTATTTCTTCCATTTACATTATTTCTTTCATTACTAGTGCAAATATTGTAAAAATGACGCATCTGCTTTATAGATTAAAACATTATTTAGTTTGGAGATTCCTTAATTTAACTTCAAAATTATTGAAATTATGTAATCATTTGAGAGTATGGGTAGTTCGCATAAAACCTCCAACCGCTTACCCCTATTTATGGTTAGTTTGGTTGTTCTTACGAAAGTAGCATAGCTTTTAAAAAGCTAATAAATTATGAAAATAATTTAACATAAAAAATATGCAAAAAATTATTTGGATGAATATTTCTCAAATTCTATAAGAATTTACTATTTAGTGTGATTTTAATATTTTAAAATTCGTTCCAAACCTGTCAGTCATTTCCTCGCTTCATTACATTTGCCTTCACTTTGAAAAATAACCGTAAAGAAAATTCAATTACCAATCTCTTGACACTATCTATTGGGTAAGCATAGGTGAGCCATTGGGGGACATGGACCCATGGAGGCTGCCTAGGCCCAAGCATACTTCAGGGCAAGGAGAAGTGGAGGTAAGCTAGGAGTAAGGCCCATGCAGGGATGAGCAGGCGCATAACGACAAGAGTAGGGCGAGGACCGTGCAAGTCGGGAACCAGGAGGCTGAGGGCATGCCACCTGGCAATGTGGTCCCTGCAGGCGCCTGGGCTTAGGAGCCCAGAAGCTGCCACGTGGAGACGCCTGACCGTTGGGCCGTACCGAGCATTTAATGACGCGCTGACGTGGAGCTGAATTCTAGGAGCCTGGTCGGGACCTCGACGAGTATAAATAGTACTCGGTAGGTGGTATTTAAGCAGGTTAGCTTCTCTCACTAAAATCTTTCTAGGCACTTATCTCTCTAGAATTGCTCTGACTTGAGCGTTGGAGTGCTAACGGGCATTCAGAAGCCCTTTAGGCGCTCATTGTGCAGGGTCTAGGCGCCTCCATTGCGGTCAACACTCGGGGATCGCCAAGAGGAGGTGTTGAAAGGGGGTTCGCGGCACAAACACTATCAATTACAAATTTACACTACAACAGCCAACAGGTCAGTTCCCATACAGGAACATCCCTTGAAAAATGGCACTATGAAAAGTGAGCGAGACACACAAAACGAAAACAAATCAATAAATAGCATACAGTAACTTTCCACACTGTAAATCATATTCATCTCCAACCATGAAGAACTTACCCCATACTACCTCCCCAACCAAAACCCCAAGCGCCATTGATGGCTGCTTCACCAAAAATCATTTGTCAAGCTCCACCATTTCTGGTTTGCTTCCCTTCATCATACATTTGACCTCAACTTTCCAAACTTACCTTCTTCTGAACATGTATCTACAGAACCTCTCAACACTAAAAAATCAACTTCTTTCTCCTGAACAAACCTCTTTTAAATACACATGCGGCAGCAACAAGTGTTACACTCACAAAGTCTCAATCAGCTGTTACAGAAAAGTTAATGTCTTCTTCTTTATTGCAGTTGACAACCAGGTCGAGAAACTGCAGCAGCCAATGATTCAGGAGCAGGGAGCAATGTTCATCATACTGAGAAAAATGCACTAACATTAAGGCAACACTACAATTTCTTAGGCAGGTTGTAAGTTTTCTTTAGAAACTTTGTCGCTGTCTCGTCGTTCCGGTAACACAAAACTCTCAGCAGAGTATTTGGCTCACTAGGACCCCAGTGACCTGTAGTTGGCGGCAATGGAAGTCTCGATTTGGAAGCAGTGCCATAAGCCTCCAAGGCTGCACTTTTGAACCTCTCGATCAGGGCTTCGGAGTCCATTCGGTACAAAGGAAGAATGCTTCTAACAGTGGCGGAATACTTGTCTATCAACTCGAGTGGTAGCCCATCTCCATTGGACCAGAAAAGCTCCCTGAGGAACTTGTAGTCCTCCTCTATTACCACATGATCTTGCAAAGAGAAAGCACGAGACGAGCCCCCGGCAAGCAAAACCAACAGGAACCCATCGAGACAAGCTCTCATCATGTCAGTAATGGCGCGTGTCCTAACCCTGTCATGCACCATCGACGAGATAATCTCCAAGTTCTGCTCGACCTCCTGAAGGAAAGGGTCGATTCTAGAAGTTGAAACATCACCACCCACATAGAGGCTGTCCCACATGACAGGGCTTAGATCGTGAAACACGATCTTATATGCCGCTGCCTCACAGAGTTGTTGAATCCCTTCAACACAGGTCGTAGCTGATAACTCAAACTTCTTCACCCCAACTCCATTGGTAAACTCATCATTGACATGACCCGACTTGATGTTGTTCCTCAGTTGAATGGTTGTCCTCTTCTCCAAAACTTCTAACTGCATTCTAATATGATGCAGAGTATTCATGCGTACGCAAAGCTGAGGTATTCCATAGGAGTCATCACCACTGGCAGTTCCAACATGAGACTTCCTTCTCTGGCTCATTTGCGACTTCTCCTTCTTCTTGAATACTTGGAATTTTGATCCAGTTGTACATCTTGTTAATGCAGGCAAAGCAGGGATATAAGAACTTCGAGTGCCTGCAGATTGTTGAAAAGGAAAGAAAAGAGGAAACGTAATAAGCATGGGTACCAAGAGAAATAAATCATTGCAGAAATAGTTCAGGAAGCTGGGTAGGTAACATACCACAACCAGATTTTGCCTTCAATATGTAACTTTGGAGACATCTATCAAGCCCTGCTACAAGCTCTGGAAGTAAGGCTGAATGCATAGGAATTGGCAGCAGGAAGAAGGCTTCCAAAGTTTCATCAACAGTTCTCAAGACTTCAACTCCAGATGGGGCAACCCTTTCCTTATTCGCCCTCGGATTCCACACCTACAAGAGTCAGAAACGGTGGAGCTTAGATCATCCATGAGAAATCTAATGCACACAAATCTCTACAGTTGTACTAAATTTGTGAACCTCAACACCACTAGGAAACATACCTCCTGTTGTAGATTTCTATCCACCCATTCCTTTAGTCTGTCAACTCGTGTTTTTATCCATGACTTCACAAGGTTGGCCATCACAGCTTCAGCCTCATATGGAGGCATCTGTTGGATTATCGACTTCCCACCATCTTCACTATCCACCGCATCCTCCACCGCAATCTGGACGAGATCTTTTTCCAATTTGTCAGCAGCTGTCAGCACTTGTATGGCGTCAGGTGTCAGCTCACTGACACTTGATACAAATTGATTCAACTCTTTGCTGTAGGAAGAATGAAGCGTGGCTACTGCTACACCTGCTGCATGGGGGTGCCATCTCTTGAATATAGGACTAAATATAGCCTTTTCACTGAAAGCCAGTTGGCTAATGTCATTTGCAAGTATAGCAAGCTGAGGAAGTGGAGTTTGCAGGTTTCTAGATGGTTGCTTGGATGAAGTGATTTTCTTCATTCTCTGTCTTAAGAAGATGAAAGAGAACCGTAAGCTAAAAGCATTTTAAGTGGCAAGACTACTTTCTCTAAATGATAAATGAAATAGCAAATGCATATAACTAAAGCTACAACATCTTTTAACAATGATAAATAGTAAATCTGACGAGTATTTTAGGGGCATGTAGATTCTTCACAAGTTCACATAATACAATAGTCCCCCAATTCAGCACCAGAAGATTCTGTAACATGAAGGTTGAAATTCCCAACTGAACACCAGGAAGTAAAGATTCGAAGTTGAAATGCCATAAATGTAGTACCATGACCAGGATAGATATGAAGTAGATACTTTCCATTTGATTCAACGTAATGAGTGGCCAGAAGTGAGTAAAACGACCGCTTCAACTTTTGAAGTTTTATAGAAGAGGAAATGGAAGAATTGGAAATGTAGAACTGACTAAGTGTGATCCACATCCTTTTAAATTAAATTTCAAGGTAGAAAATTACAAGTTGGTAGGGTGCATTTGATTGAGAAGTTCATTATTTGATCAACTGGAGAATGAGGCCTAACAAGTGAGACAAATTCAACTTGCCTGGTTAAAAGCAGCACGCAATGATGATCTGATATAAGCGTCAATCCTATCTGAAGCAACATCACGCTGTTTCTTGCTCCTGTGATACTCGTTAGAGATATCTTCTACAAGTACCTTTGCAGCCACAACAGCCAGAGAAGCAACACATTCCATTGATTCAGTATTATCACTATTGAAGCTATCATGGTAAGCCACAAGCCTTTTCTCCGCCCAACCCAGTATAGAACTCAATGTCGAACTCAAGATCTTTGAGTACTCTGGATCCTTAGCTGCCTTTGCATCTTTCTCCACCTCAATAATCAGACTATTTGCAGCAAACAAGAGGTCATCTTCGATTTGGCTAGTTGCAACATAATGATGAAACAAAACCCACAAAAAGCAGATGTTGTGCAACGTCTGGTTAACTCCTAGAATTGTCCACGTCTTCTTTATAAGTTCTATCACTTCATCGACCTCATCAATAACAACTGACTCATCATTGATATCAAAACACGTTTCCAGGAGTGTTTGGTAAAGTCTTAGATTCAGGGGATAACCATCTGCCCAGTGGCAAGTTTCTACAGAAGACCCGTTCAACGACCTGCTAGCCAAGGGCATAACAGCATTTCGGAGTATTTGCATTGACTGGGTGTTCCTGCCAGTATCAAGGGGCTTGTCCAATGCCCCACGGATAACCTGCTGAAGTTGCCTTGCAGCAGTGTCGGATTTATCTAATGGAATGTGTGGATGCAGAAGTAGTCCGGCTTCTAAAAGCTTCAAATTTCTCCTCTGCCAGACCTCATAATCTTGCTGATTAGGGAAATCCGAGGACTTGAGCTGCTGTAATAGCTCGAGAGGTAGAACTATCGACTCTATGCGCCTTCCTAGCTGATACAATTGCACCAAAAAGAATCCCAAAACTAGATTAGACCTTCTGAGAGATAAAACAAGGTTCAATCTTTCAACTATGTCAAAGGAAACTGAAGCAAACCAAGTATCCTGAAACAAGTAAAATGAAGTTGGAAGAAACTTCAGACACCATAACAAAAGGATGCTAACTTTGATCAGTGCAGTCTCTATGACCAAAAGCATAATAGAGATTATTAAGTTCTTTGATCACCAAAGGACTGCGAATAGTTGAACAGAAATGAGTGCTCTTTTGCAAAGCTGTTGACTCTGTTATTCCCCTAATTTCTGAGCAACCAAATAACACACCACAAAGAATTTTCGCAATTGAAAGTCCCACCTGACCAGCAGCAACTCGCAGTAGAGCACGTCGAATCCTGGAATCAGCCTGCTCCGACACTCTCATCTGAACCCTAACCAGCTCCCCGACCGTCGCAGCTTTCCTCGATCTCCCCTGACCCGCCGACTCGCCATCACCGTTCGTTCTCCGCTTCGCCGATTTCATCCCGAGGGCCTTCTTCACCTTACTCGCTGCCGACGAGGTCAACGACCGCTGCAGCGAGGAAGAATGCGTGAGAGTCGAATTGGCATGACCCTGCCCTCTATCATCCGCCGCTCTCTCCGACTGAGGGGTGTACGTGAGCGGGCGGGTCCCGGAGCTCCGATAAGCCGCGATTAGGATCTCGTAGGCGGATTCCCGGAGCTCCGAGGCTGACAAGTTGAGAGGGGCGGCGGAATCATCGCCGAAGGGAGAACCCAATTGGTCAATTGGGTAAACGGGCATGACTGCGACGGTCCCCGTGGCCACCGCGGCGGCGGGTTGTGCCCGGTGGCGCGTGGAGTTGGACTTTCTGGTGTTGTTTCCAACGTTGCGAGACATGTAAGAAAATCTGCGAGGGAGAACCCAGAAGAGAAAAAGCAGCAGTAAAGTGGGTGGAATTGAGGATTGCTGAAGAAGACCTCAGGTCCGCAAGGGTAGGCCGCCCGGCAGGTGGCGGTGGCGGTGGTCAGCCGTCGCTGTCAAAATAATTATAAATTTGAGGGTTTTGCAGGAATCCCAGCAGTGGGTTTCTACTTTCTGGACAAGAAATTAGTAAAGCGAGAGAGAGGGAATCGGGAAAGGACTAAAGAGAGACTTGGGCTTGAAGAAAGGGAGCAAAGCAATCGAATCGAATGATTGGTGACGACGACGACGATGGAGTAATTGCGTGTCACGCTTTAGAGAAGAGAAAAAGAATTGGAGGGTGTTAACTTTTCGAAGCGACGAGAAGGAATTAGGGGATTGTGCGCGTTTATGTGGGTCACGGGGTAGAAATGAATATGGGAGGAACGCCGGCGAGTCGGCCGGCGGCGCAGAGAAGGAAATGAGAGGATTTTGTTGTTCTCTGTTTTTTGCTCTCCGCCGGAGCAACGGTCTAAATGTCAACTGTTGGATTGAGATTTTGCGGAAAAAGGCTTCACACGGTTTCGTTTTATTGGCCTCGCAAGACTAGTTCTTTCTAGTCGAATAATTTTAAATTAGTGCTAATCTTTTTTCCCTGTTTGGCTGTGTCCATTAATGCTAAGTTCAACAACCAAATGGCTTTGTCAGAGATTATCATGAAGAGCACTCAATAAAAACAAAACAAGAGAGAGATAAACTTTGGTGGCTTACTGGCTAATTGTATTTGTTAGGGGTGGCTGTACTGTCCTGTTCGGTTAAATTTGACCGAATCGATTCGGTCTCGGTCCGGTGTTTTCGAAAATATAAGGATTAAATATTGAATTGGATACAGTCTGGTCTTTATTCGGTCTGGTCCCAATTAAAACTTGACTCTTGATTTTAGATTGAGCTTGCGGGGATTTGAGTGGCCTGAGGCCTGAAAGGGTGAAGAGTTGGTTAAATTTTGGGTGTCGAGCTCTCTTATCCGCTCTATATGCGGTTTTCGGTCCGATCTCAAACGATTTTTTTACCTCAAATCTAAGCCTGAATATGGAATTTGATTGTTTGCTATCTGGTCTCAGTCCGGTCTCGATCCGGGTTATACAGTCCAATTTTGGGTAAAACCAAAAAAACCGGACCAAATAGTCCACCCTAGTATTTGTATCCATTGAATGGCGGCGTGATTCTTTTAGCTACTTTCTTGAGTTTTTATTGGCCAATATGATGATGAAGAGAGAGAGAAAAATTGAGGCCTAACTCTAACGAGATATATAATAAGGTATATTAATTAAGAATTATTATTCAATAATTAATGAAATTTAAATGTAAAATTAAAATCAGTAAGTAATATTTAACCTTTTGAAAAATGATATTCAAAATGTCCAAATCAATTATTAATGAAATTGTATTTCGTAAGACACACCTAAATTACTAAATTAATGGCTACCTGTACCATGATTATGTTGTTTTGGTTTCATTACCAGCTCGATTAGGATTGTGTCATATGTAACTACCACCTTTATTCTCTGTGTTCTTTAAAAGAAATTGGTGCCACGACACTAAAGACATCTTTGATCTTTGTGCTATCCATCTAATTGTATGGTTTTAATTTGTAGAAGAGAGACAAAAACAAAATTATGTCCTATTTCATAAACAATAATGGTGCCAGTGCCAGCAAATTTAGGCTTGCTAATTAATCATCCATTTGGCAGTTGGATTATTAATTTGCTTTATTCCACCACAAACTACTCTTTTGCTAAATTATAAATGCAACATCCAAGTAATGATTCCTAAGTACTATAAGACATGAATTTCTTAAATTTTAGTAAAAACGCTCAAACAAACACTCTTAATTCATCTCTAGTGAGTAGTGATCAATAAGGTAGAATATAATCGTTTTCTGCGAAATTTTAGTGTTGAAATCTGCTTTAATTTTGTGAAGAAGTTGAATTGAACCAACTAATCTCTTCAAATAATATAGGAGCACCACACAAGCCTTGTATTGTGGCTAAGGATCGAGAATGCATGAATTTTGTAATTGTGGTGTCTCGTATGGAACAAATTACGGTAATTACTATAAAAATAGTAATCACCGTAAAATTGAATAATCACACTAACCTATTCCTATCTCGTATATAGTTCCAACATTGTCGATTATGATATCAAGGATCGCAGCAGCCAGCAGGTAGGCAATAAGATTCAGGCCCACAAACTCCTTCCCCATATATCTTGGGCTTCGGCCCTCTCAGCTGTCTAGGTCCAGCCCGTATCTAATTCCCGGCGCCGGCGCCGCTTCAGAATTAAGTCAGGCAGCCGGGATTGAGAGAAGCTCCGCCATTAACCAACAATGGCATCCACGCTGGGCGTGCTCGAAGCTCTCCTCAGAAACCCAGGCGCCATCGCCACCAAACTCGAAGTTAAACAGCTCCTGAAAGCCCTTCTCAAGCGGCCGGGCGCCATCACCTCCGCATCCGAAGCCAAGCAGCTCCACGCCCAAATCCTCAAGCACAACCCTTCTTCACCTCTTTACACATCCACAGCCATTTGCGTTTACTCCAACTTCAAGCTCCTGAACCAATCCATCTGCCTGTTCAAAACCCTGCAGTCCCCGCCTTCTCTCGCCTACAAATCAATCATCAAATGCTACGCGGTGAATGGGCGCTTTGTTGAATCGTTGGCCTCTTTTGTAGACATGAGAGCTTCCGGCAACACCCCTGATCACAGCGTGTTCCCTTCTGTGCTGAAAGCTTGCGCCTTTCTGCTGGATTTGAGATTGGGGGAGGCGGTTCATGGGTGCATTATTAGGTTGGGAATGGACATTCATTTGATTACTGGGAATGCACTCATTAATATGTACGCAAAGCTGCAGAGTTTGGCCGAGAGCGAGTGGCGGGAACGTGACAGGCGCAAGGTGTTCGATGGAATGTCTCAGAGGACTGTTGATAATCTATTTTCAAGCCAACTTTCGCAGGAAAGCGAGGATGGTGTGGGTATTAGTACCAACACTGTCATGAAGCGGTTTGTAGATATTTTTCCTCAACTTGGTAGTTGCTTAGACGGTAGAAGTAGAACTGGTTCAGGAGCGGATAGCAGCGTGAAGAAGGTATTTGAGACGATGACAACAAGAGATATTATTTCTTGGAACACTGTAATCGCAGGGAATGCACAAAATGGACTGCACGAAGATGCTTTGGCGATGGTTAGGGAGATGGGAGGTGCAGGGCTGAAGCCTGACATATTTACTTTGTCAGCCATACTTCCTATCTTTGCCCAATACGTGGATGTTGATAAGGGAAGGGAGATTCATGGTTATGTCATTAGATATGGTTTTGATAAGGACCTTTATGTTGCTAGCAGCTTGATCAACATGTACTCGAGGTGTGCTCGAGTGGAAGACTCGATACGTGTGTTCAAGATTACTCGTGAACGCGACACCATTTCCTGGAATTCAGTTATTGCCGGTTGTGTGCAGAACGGTATGTTTGATGAAGGCTTGAGACTCTTCCGGCAGATGTTGAAGGATAATATTATACCAGGGAGTGTTTCATTCTCCAGCATCATGCCTGCTTGTGCTCACTTGACCACGTTGAATTTGGGAAAGCAGCTTCATGGATACATAATGAGGTGCGGATTTGATGATAATGTGTTTATTTCTAGTTCATTGGTGGACATGTATGCCAAATGTGGTCATATTAGGACCGCTGGATGGATTTTCGACGGCATAAAGGGTCGTGACATGGTATCCTGGACAGCAATGATAATGGGTTGCGCTTTACATGGTTATGCTGAAGATGCCATCTCATTATTCGAGCAGATGAAATTGGAAGGAATTCGACCAAATCATGTGGCAATCACTGCGATCTTAACTGCCTGCAGTCATGCTGGCATGATAGATGAAGGTCGAAGATACTTTGATCGAATGACTGAGGAATATGGTATTAGGCCAGGGTTAGAACACTATGCTGCAATGGCAGACCTTTATAGTCGGAAGGGAAAGCTGAACGATGCTTATCAACTCATCAGTACCATGACCACACCCACCGGTACGATTTGGTCCTTGCTACTCTCGGCTTGTAGGGTCCATAAAAATGTCGACTTGGCTGAGAAGGTCGCAAGCAAGATTTTCGAGGTCGATCCAGAGAACATTGGTGCTCGAGTTCTTCTGTCCAACATATATGCAAATGATGGCAGATGGAAGGAAGCTGCAAAGGTACGGATGACCATGAGGAATATGGGGATAAGGAAAAACCCTGCTTGTAGTTGGATAGAAGTGAAGAACAAGATTCATACTTTTATTGCAGATGATAAGTCCCATACGCTGCATGATGAGATAAACAATGCTCTCTGTGAATTGCAAGAGAAAATGGAGCTAGCGGGGTATGTTGCTGACACGAGTGAGGTGCTGCATGATGTTGATGACGAGCAGAAGAAGTACTTGTTGTATGGTCACAGTGAGAGACGGGCGATAGCATTTGGCATCATGAGCACGCCTGCTGGAACAACAATTCGAGTTATAAAGAACATCAGAATATGTGTGGACTGCCATACAGCGATAAAGTTGATCTCGAAGATAGTCGGGAGGGAGATAGTCGTCAGAGACAATAGCCGTTTTCACCATTTCCGAGATGGTGAGTGCTCATGTGGAGAATATTGGTGAACCATATTTGTAACCTTCATCCAGCCACATTGTGAACAACTGTGGCAACACCCATGTTGGTTTAAGAATGCCTTGCATTGCAGCCAAAAATAGAATGAAGGAAACATTTGCGCAGAAATTTGTATCTCCCTTGGGCTAATGCTTGGTAATGGGAATCCAAGCTGCTCCACTGCACACCAATATGCGCCCTTTGGTGGCCTCTGTAGAACCAAATGATAGAAACTGAGCATATCCAGATCCTGCCTCAGTGTCACTGAGATGCCGAGGAAAAAATTTGCTCACCTGGCTATCAACTTGCCTCTGTCTCTCTAACACACTAAGGTCAGGGCTTTCACTCCATGTAAATGAAAACTCTTAAGAAAACATTTTTTGTGATCATAATTGGCAATCCATAAGCTTTTCTGGATTCCAAGTGCCTTTTCTCTTTTGAGTTTTGAGTGAGTGAATCTAATCTTCTTTTTGCTTTTAGGCAACAGTGCTCGATTTCCTTGGAGCGGAAGGAGTGGTTCGAAGTTCGAACAGCATGTGATCACTTCACTGCCATAAAGAAATGCAGTTTAGTATTGATTCAGAGGTGCGGTTTGAACTGCGAACTGTGTTTGGTCCATCTCAAAGAAAAGGCAATTACATACTGAGAGAAAGGGAGTAATAACGAGGAATGAAGGAAAAAGAAGCATCATCGCAGGCACCATAAACCACTGGGTTAAAAGTCTGAATGGTTGTCATCAACACAACTGTATCATTCTCTCCTCCGCCTCCAGGGTCTTTCCAGGTCTATTTTGTTGCTCCAGTTCTCTCCTCCGTATGTTGTGCATCCAGCTTGGTCTTTCAGGTAGCAGGCTGGTCTATATGCATTTCGCTCAGGATCATGGTGGTTCACTGGCCCTTATCTGGCTAATCTCTTAGCTGCACGGGGCGCTCTACTGCTACTTGGGAGGCTGACTCAGTGGGGCAATCGTTGAGGGAGGCTCCCAGGTTCTTGTTGGTCAGCTTCAGGATCGAACCATCTGTGATGTTGTGTAAATGAATTCCGCATCCGCTATGCTGTGCAAGTGAATTCATCCTGCCAGAGGTTTTCGATGGCAGCATAACACTTTCAGCTGTCCATCGGCTGCGAATTGTCCATCAGCTTCACGAAAGGCCCTATTTGTATTCACCTTTGAGTTGGTTTCTCTTTACCTGGTTAGCTGGGTGGTTGGTGATATACTGTAAGGTTCTATATCTAACCATAATCTTTTGATACATCCATGAAAGAGATAACCGAAATGGTCGCAAATTGGTTGCTAGAACGTAACTAAGTTGTCGCAACAAGTCCATATTGTCAACGAAGGCTAATCGATTGAATCTGACTCAACTCCAGCAGCAGCAAGAAGCATGAGCAGGCGTTACAGCTACTGCAATTAAAAAAAAAGTCGAAGAGATGAATCCATAACTTTCACTAATTGGACTGGATAGTATTTCATCCAAAATGTGCGATGTTAATCTCTAGTCAAAGTTCTGTCGCAACAAAAAGAAACCAAATGGGTGGAGGTAGTCCTACAAAATCTCTCCCCTTGACTGCTTGCTCACCAAGCTCTGCACCTCTCGAAGAGGACGTGGCGAAAAAGCGTAAAGTTAACACACCAACGGGGAAGAATGAAGATGGCTTCATTGTATGAGATGGTAGTCTATCCCTTAGTGCCAAGGATTCCTCTTTCCTCTTACATCTCTCTTTGAGCTAACCGATCTCTGCTGTCAACAAAACAGGAAGACAGCAGTTTCAAATGTCAAAACCGGCTCAGAAAACAGGAACGAGACGGATCAGTTAGACATCATCCACATTCAAACCACGTACCGAAGACTTGGATTTCTTTGTCTTGCCGCGGATCCTGTTCCTTTGGGGCTTCAGTTTGTAGATCCGCACCATCCAATGGTGAGTGGTGAATACCTAATTCCACAATTCACCAACATCAAACCAAAGCATACTTGACCTACAACTGCGATTTGGGCATTTGAGGGGAGAGCTAGGAATGAAAGTATCAACCAACCTCTTCGAAATGGGTGAGTTTGAAATGTTTCTTGCCTATTTCTGTCCTTCGTACTCTGTCAAATCCTTTGCCATCTGTTTCTACAAACCTGACCATCCAGCACTTCAGTTTAGTTACAACTAGCATGTAATGAATCTGTTCCCTTTCAACTCGATGAATATAAGTACCGGTACTGCTATGAATTGGGATAAAATCTGACCTGAAGTACGACAGTTTGTACATAAGACAGTTGAGCATGGTGGGAGTAGCTTGAGCGTCAATCCGGTATTGTCCGTCTCTCTTGGGATACAAACAAGCAAACAGGCACTAATGGTTATGGCAACTATCCAGCAACAGTTTGGGATGTCAGCATATGCAAGTTGGAGAAACTTACCAGGTAATCAGGTTCTTTGATGTGAGGGAACACACCGCCTCCAATGCGAACCATCCAAAGGAACTTATTGATATCATCACTAGGGTAGCCAACAACACCTGTAAAATGAATATTTACTTTAGGTAAGCTGATTCAAAAGGATTTAAGATTAATGCTGCGTTTAGAAGATGAAGGCTGGAAGCACACCTCCAAAGACTACTAGGACATATTTCACATCCAGTGAATGGAAGATCTCCCAGGCTTGCTTCTCAGGGGACGACATGGCTGTGCCAACAGTTGCGATATGAGTGTTGTTCCAGGTGTTGTTGTCGACGAGAACAGTGCGGTTAGCCATAGCAGTTGTTTGATAGCCATAGTCCCACCATGACGCGACCTACAACAATAAGAAAAACAAGTGTCATCAGGTCAACCATCCAGAAGACATGTAAACCTCCTATTTTTCCACAAATTTTAGCTGATATTTCTTATGCTGTCCACATGCTGTTGCAAGTTTCTACAATGAAGTGACATTCTGAAGCCAGTATGTCTGCAAATCGATGAAAGGAAAAGAGAGCAGGGATTAATCATACTTTATCATCCACGTCAGTATTGTGGCTCAACCATGAATAGGCCTCTCTAAAATCATCAAAAACATGCAAGCCACCATCATTCGAGTGAGATGTAAGAACAATGGAAGGGGCTGAATAAGCTTCTGCTGCTGCCCATACACAATGAACCTGTACAGAAACACAAGATAGATTCCAATCAGTTCTAGATCCCCAACTCTAGCCCACCTCTATTTGACAATAAATACTTCGCCAGAGAAGTGCAGAACAAAACCACGATGCAGATCTCTATTCTTGAAATATAATATTTTAAACAGAAACAAAGTGTTAAACCTGACCAACCATCAACAACCTTATTTTTCCATGTCTAACTTGGTCATTGTACTTAAATTAGCACATTTGCATGTTGTTTGTAGTTAGGAATCTATTCAGAAAAAGTATGGACGTTTTCTCAGAGAGAAGTGGGAAGCTTCGAACAGATACAGGGCACCAAGATTCATTATAGAAATTTACTTTAAATCCTTCAAAGGAAGAGGTTACATACCACGTAGAAGGCACCAAGCAATACAAGCAAGAGAACAGCAATGACTGAGGCTTCCAGAGGTAAGACAAGAAGCCTCTTCTCAGTTTTGGATGGTGTGGGCTTCTTCTCCACATTCTCCTTTTCTTTCTTCCTGTTCTTTTTCGCTGGTTTTTCTTTTGCAGCTTCTTCAGTCTTCTCAGTCTTTGGTATGTCGTTTGGTGCTACAACAGTGCTTGAACCATTTTCTTCTGACTACAAGATGAAAATGGTTTATGAAATTTCAGTATCGACTAGAATATCAACAAATGACAACTGGAAGTACTCATAATACACCACATTCTTACAGCAATGCTGGGGTTCCCTGCTATACCAGGTAGCTGAAACTTGATTGATCGAGTCAAGACATTAAAAGCTTCAGACAGTGCAATGCCAGACAAGATGCATGCTGCAGGAGCAAGTACAAGCATCAACCGTACCTAAAACATGGATTAACAAACAAACAACTCGTAAAGCTATATGAGACAGACAAGAGAGGCAAATACAAACTGAAGGAAGATGGGCCAGAGACTTTTCCTACCATGACACCGGAGAAATAAACAGAAGTCACAATATAAAGGATGACAAAAGAGCTTGAGTCGGTTAAGGGCATGAAGCAGGCCTGCAAAATGATATATAAGCCCCGTTGAGATAGCCAAAGGTGGTAATTACTGAGAACACAAACTTCCATTAAACCAGGCAACTCACAATAATCCCAGCTGGAACCAAGAAAGCTAACACATTGATGTCCATGAAGTACGATGGCCAAGTAGGAGGCTGATGTTCACTAACACTAGCGATAATTGGTATATACTTGCTTGCATAAGTCCTGTCATATTCCACACAGAAGAAGGTTGAAGGTCAGAGACACAACCCATGAATCCATAGACATCAACCAAGTGATCAATCTAATCCAACACGACACTCTCATGTTTGGCCACAAAATGGTCATCACATTTTGCAGGCTGCACCGTGATGGGAGGCATTGCTGCTAGAAAGACAAAAATGATCCAGTAGACTCAAATGGAGACAATGAACCAGAAGTTACATACGGATCAAGTAGAGTTAGACTTCGCCCACTCCATCCCTTTGTCGGGCTGGATGCCACCACTGCTATCAGAATTGCTATAACCGCACAACAGACTGCTCTGGAAAAAAACAGAAAATAGACAAGCAGTGGATATCAATATCATTTTCATAATAACACATGAGAAGTTCTGAGACAAATCAAAATCAAACTTTTCCTGCTGCAGTCCTCATCTCTATAAGTATTTATCTTGCAAATATAAAATATCATGGATGATAAGAAAGCTTACAGGCCAACAGACACAACAAGTGTCACAGCAACTTTAAACATTTTTGGGGAGAGGATCCCTTTGATATAGTATGCAAGGGCCACAACATGGATGATAATGAAAACCTGCACAAGTAAATAGTAAGAACTAGATAGATGACATGCTGATCAACTAAGATGCGGAACAGCCTGGGAAGCAACAAAGACAAGGATTGACCACCCTTATGTCATATCATGATATCAATTCTTACTCGTACGTGATACATCTAGTTCATGTACTGAATACAATCCTCACTGGAACAATTAAGTGCCTACACTGACAACATGTCTATAATGTGTCCCTCCTGATATCAATCAATTCCAGAATTCTCTCTCTACATGATCCAGAAGGACAGGTACTGGGTAGAATTATTGACTAACATATGGTTGCCCTCAATTCTAGAGCAAGAGAAGCTGATGTCATGCACATAACATGAAAAGCAAACAATGACAGAGAAGAACAATAAGAGGAAAAATTAGTAACAATGCAGCTATCACACTTGCCAGAAATGAAGCGAAATGTTCTGATGTCAAGACAGCATTAAAACCAACAACAGGCACCAAAGAAGCTAGCAAAGTACCCAATACCACCTGCATAGAAAATCATGTCATTAAAAAAATTATCCAATTTTCATCCATCAACATCGCATGAAAAAGTGATTTTCAAAATTGAAAAATACAAAATATTTCATATTAAATGGCCATGAAAAGACTATATCAACATCAGGTCGCACTCCATGTAGCTCTATAACTAGAGGCAAACAAACTTATATTTTAACATAATGACTCACCTTGAAGAGTCACTACCAAATAAACTGATGGAACTATGATAATGTGATTGTTTTATTTTCATCTCTCTACAACTATGACCAGAAGTTCCAAGTACTTACAAGAGGTGCATAAGCAATGTACAGTCGAGAAGAATAACGACCCGTTACAATGCAGAGAAGCACGTGCATAGGAATCAGATTAATAATGAAGGTGTAGCCTCCCCATGAGCAGACCTGCAACGAAACAATACCTCAGCAACTGAAAATATGCAATGTGTATGATTGTAAGCCAGAAAACAGTAGAACAAGCTTACCATGTAAAAGTATGCCAAGGCATTTAGAGTAGCATAGAAAAGGGACCCCGTATTCAGCGTCTGCCAATAAGTAAGCATTGATTAAAAAAGAGCTTATTAAGCTTAAAGAGAGCTAGGAACAGCATAAATTATCTGACAGCTTATCACAAAAACACAAAAAGAAATACCATTCTGAACAACTAACCTTTATATATAGATAGAATGTGA